AAAAGAATAAAATAATAAAGATGAAAATGATTTCGAGGAATTACACAGTAGCACAAAAATTTATACTAAAAAGAGAAAAAAAAAAAAAAAGAAGATGCAATGACATTGGAGAAGTGGAGAGCAACGATAGGTATCAGGGGCGGACGCACATGGGGTCATGTGAGGTCAAATGACCCCACAAAATTTTAGTTTTTTTCCCCAAAAAAAAAAATGATTGTTTTAACCCATTTTCGACCCGCTTTAATATATACCAAATAAAATCGAAATATTATATTCTCAATATCATTTCTAAACGCTCATGGCCTAATTTTTCGCTTTTTAATGGTATGCGAAATGATCAATCATAGCAAAAGTTACGATATATCAAAGTAAGACGTTCTAAATTAGAATTTCGAAAATTTCTATAATATGCTAACATTTAAAATTTGTCGATAATCGTATACTATCCAAATCTACAAATCGCTTGCATCATCTAAAAGTTCGTTATGAAAAATACATCGTAGTAATATTGAATAGTTCAAACAAATATCGAAAATAGTTAAATGTGCGTTAAACATACGTATTAAAAAAGACGTTTAACTCGTCTTTTTTTTTTTTTCAAATCAATTATTTCATTAACATTTATTATTTTTTCACGATAAATTTTTCAATATAATTTACATCATTTTATTAAGAAATTTTACATTAAAAATGATGTCAAAAATTCTAAAATCGTTATGGATTAAATGTAATTTGAATTACTTTCAAATTATTTTTTCATTAAACTTAAATTTCATTTACTTCCTACATCTAATTTGATTTACTTGTTGTTAGCTCAACATCCATAAATGACATGGTAAGCAACACTATTAACAATATTGATAATGATAGAATTATTAACTTATTTTTATAAATATTATATTGTTTTAAAAAATTACATATTAATTTTTGGAGTTAAGCAAAACCTGCGAGGATGACCTCACAAGTGACCGCGCCCTTACATGCCCGACGGGGTCCCATGAATAAAATAATCCCAACCCCATGTGCATGTGTTGTATCAACCCGCGGTCATTCATGTGAGTACTGTAGCACCATAACCCAAAATGGCTAGGCCCGCCCTTGATAGGTATACAAGCCAATCCCATCAAAAGGTTGCAAGAGCCTAAAGCAAACCATCTGAAAGAGGTCTACCATTCCACCATTGAAGAGCTTCAAAGATTGTCTCACGACAAAACCACACTGACATAGTAACCACACCAGCATGAGCATAACCTTGCCAAGGTTTCATCTTTGAGTCTGTTCTTGAGTTGTCCCTACAAAGTAATTTAAATGCTTAACTTGTGACATGATGCAAAATTGGTAATCATGACAATCAAAAAGGTCCAGTAGATACTTGTACAGAAGGAGTGAAGGAGAGACTGCTAATAAGAGAACAGCTGAGACCCACAAAACAGCCTCTGATGGCATAAACAACGTTGAGAGCTTCGAGACATACAGGCACAATAATATCCACACTGCCTTTGGTCCAATGCGATTATCCACCATAAGTCTCCTGACAATAGCTAAACCCACCAATGTAGTCAGGGTAACCATGTAATTTGGATACATCACATCATCATCCATACCATGGTAGTATACATTTGAGTAATTGAAAAACTGATTTCTACATAGCGTAGCAACAAAGCATGCCCGACTAACCCTGCCTCTGTCAAGAAATGAAGTTTTGGAGGAAGGACAGCTAAACCAGGAACCGCCATTGATAGAATAATGCTACCAACTATAAGCTTGCAGAAAGATTTCAATGACATGCCCACTATCCAAATATTAAGGTACCAATAATTATACATCACAAACTATGTAACCATCAATATCCCAAGCACAACGAATGCAAAGTACGATGATGGATTCTGTTTGGTGAAAAAGTGAGCCAAATAAAACCCCACTACCGAGGGAAGCAGGAGGATCTGGAAGATGAAGTAAAAAGCTTCAATCATAAAGTTATCCTTTAGTACTACAGCAATACTAAAAAGCCGCATCATCATGTGAATTACTTTGTCGACCAGTTCCGGATAAACAATCATCACAAGTCTTCTTCCCTGTTTCTTTTTTGAGGATTGTTAAGACATTGAAATGCTCTGTCAAAATGTCTCACGCCTCATAAACAAAAGATATGAATTCTTTTAACCTACTTACAATTCTAAAGCTTCCAACACAACCAAAATCCTGTTGGATACAATGGACTAGTGGATGATTTTGGCATAAAATTTGTGTGAGACCCGTTTGTCAAATTTGGAAGATCGAAATTGATCATTGTTCTCTTCCGTGAGATATTTGCCAAAATTGAAGAATGGATGAATGAGAAATTGGAACTCAAAAATGACCATTGGAAGATAGTTTATGTGGAAAATAAATCTAGTTTCACATAAGAAAATGAAGAAAGTTTTAACCACTTTATATAGGAGTGCACATTGGAATGGTGTAATCATTTGTAACATAGAGGCTCTTTCCACGTGCACGCCCAGGAGAGGGTGCAAATCACAACTGAAATTGCCTTCAGACCTTGAATTTGTGTGCGGGTGCGACCTGCATACATAAATGTCGCGTTTTGCAATTTTTTGCTTTGTTTCCGAAAAACTGCCAAAATTCCCAGAAATTGAAACAACACTAGTGTTTATTACTATGGAGTTAGGCAGATTTAATCTTATATATGTAGGTCTCATTTTCTAACAATTCTAACCATGAGAATACTACATACACACGAAATCTGTCAAATTAATGTTGTCTGTTGCATTTTCAGCTTCATCTTGGTGGTGATATTGTTGGATACAAACTCAGCTCGTTGGAATAGTTTCTGTATTACTCGAATTCTACTGTCATCATTGTATCCTAAGAAACAGACGCTCGGATTAATTTTCAAGCACTTATGGTGAGGGAGCGAATCTGTTTTAAGGAAACTGTGCTCGCACAAGCCTCGAGTTGAAATTTTATTTATCTTTTACAATTTACATATTTACAATTTATTCTTACGATTATTTATTTATTTAGCGATTTACACGTTTGTAATTTACTAGATTCATATATTTTGCAGTTTACTTGTTTTATATTTATGTTAGAATTAAAAAATAGAAAAAGAAAAAAAATATATCTAAATTTTCTTGCTAACAGTTGGTAAATGCAATTTGGTATATATATATATATATACGGTAAGCTGTATATACGGTAAGTTGTAAATATGGTAAGCTGTCTGCAAATACGGTAAGTTACCTGTAAATACGGTAAGCTGCATATACGGTATGCTCAAAATTCATATCTAAACGACATATACGGTATGTGATAATTCGATTTCATTAACACAAATGTATTCCAACAAACTTAAAACAAATTCATAAAGGAAAAAAATTGATTTCTTATACTATTAATTTTCAGAAATGGCAGTTGAATCGACCAACATGGATGTGATCCAAACTGTGCCTACTGAAAATCAAGCTATGGGATCAACTGTGGCTTAAGGGCCAAGCTCTGTTGTGGTTCAAACTGTGGCTCCAACAACTGGCCATATCGTTAATGTTGATGGAGAAAAATCGAAGAAATTCAATGGCTTGAATTTCAAAAGATGGCAGCAAAAATGTTATTATCTTACCACTTTGAATCTTGCGAGATTCTTGACTGAGACTGCTCCAAAACTCAATGAGAGTAAGGGAGATGTTCAAGCAATCAATGCACTTGATGCTTGGAACCATTCAAATTTTTTGTGTCGAAACTATATTATGAATAGCTTAGCAGACGCGCTATACAATGTGTATAATACAATAAAAACTACTAAAGAGTTGTAGGAGTTTTTGGACGGAAAATATAAAATTGAGGATGCCAGGGCTAAAAAGTTCATTGTCGGCAAATTCCTAGATTATAAAATGGTGGACTCCAAAACAGTTATTAGTCAAGTGCAAGAACTTCAAGTGATTCTTTATGAAATTCATACCGAATGGATGATTTTGAGTGAAACTTTTCAACTAGTTGCAATTATTGAAAAATTGCCCCCCGCATAGAAAGATTTCAAAAGTTATTTGAAGTATAAACGAAAGGAAATGAACATCGAAAAACTAATTGTCAGACTTTCAATTGAAGAAGACAACAAGAGTTATGAAAAAAGTGGCTCAATCTTGGTGCTGCTAAAGCTAATGTTGTGGAGCATGGTCAAACTAGTAAGAACTGCAAAAACAAGTCTGGGCTATCTGGTGGTAAAATGACTAAGCAAGGACCGAAATGTGGAATTTCTAAGAAGAAATTTCAAGGAAAATATTTCAATTGTGACAAAGTAGGCCACAAATCTTCGGAGTGCATATTGCCAAAGAAGAAGGAAAAAGCAAATGTGGTTAACTATATGGCACAATGTGTCGAAGCTGAATCTCTCAGCTATCATTTCTGAAGTGAACAGGTGGGTTCAAACACTTAGAAGTGGTGTATTGACACCGGTGCTACGAGGCATGAGTGCTCTAATAAGGAATTGTTTGCTGCGTTTAAAATAATTAAGAATGAGGAGAAGTTGTTTATGGAAAATTCAACAACTTCTGAAATCAAGGGTCAAGGAAAGGTGGTTCTGAAAATGACCTCACCAAAGGAGCTAACTCTTAACAATATGCTATACGTGCCAAAAATTTACAAGAACCTAGTGTTCGGATCGCTTTTGAATAAGCATGATTTTCGCATTGTATTTAAGTCAGAAAAATTTATTTTGTCATAAAAGGATATGTTTTCGACGGTATGTTTAAACTGAATGTAATGGTTGTCAAACAAAAAATGAATAAAGCAAACTCTTCTACTTATTTGCTTGAATCTTCCAATTTGTGGCATGGTAGACTAAAACATGTTAACTATGATACTTTACATAGACTAGTTAACTTGAATTGCATATCCGAGTTTTATATTGATTCCAAACATAAGTATAAAACTTGTGTTGAGACAAAATTGACAAGATCATCATTTAAATCAATTGAATGGAACACGGAACCACTTGATTTAATTCACAGCGATGTATGTAATTTAAAACTCGTACAAACAAGATGTGGCAATAAGTATTTCATTACTTTTGTCGACGATAGCATCAAATACTGCTATGTGTATTTGCTAAAAAGTAAAGATGAAGTCATAGAGAAATTAAAGATGAAGCCATGGAGAAATTTCTTCTCTATAAGAATGAAGTTGAAACTCAATTTAATAAGAAAATTAAGATATTAAGAAGCGATCGAGCTGGTGAGTATGAAGCACTATTTGCTAAAATTTGTGCACAACACGGAATCATACATGAAACCACCGCACCTTATTCATTGCAACAAAATGGTGTTGCTGAACGAAAAAATTATACTTTAAAGGAAGTGATGAATGCAATGCTAGTAAGTTTTGGGTTACCTCAGAACATGTGGGGAAAAGCTGTATTATCAACAAATTACCTTTTAAATAAAGTACCCCGAAAGAAAATGGAAAAGACCCCTTATGAGTTATGGAAAGGAAGAAAGTCTTCTTATAAATACTTACAAGTGTGGAGGTGTCTTGCTAAAGTGGTCGTTCCAACACTAAAGAAGGTAATGATAGGGCCAAAAACAGTAGATTGTATCTTTATTGGTTATGCACACAATAGTAGTGCTTATCGATTTCTTGTGTATGATTATAAAATTCCAGACATACACAAAAACACGATATTGGAATCAAGAAATGCTTCATTCTTTGAATATGCATTTTCGTACAAGTCCAAAGAGGAAGCAAGCTCCTCCAAACGAACATATGAGACTATGACTGGAAATAGTCATGACGAAGAATTAGAAAAGGAGACTGAGGTTAGACGTAGCAAACGGGAAATGACAGAAAAATCATATGATCCTGATTTTCTAACCTAAATGATAGAAAGTGAATCTCAAAGTTATCGAGAGGTCGTGAATTCCTCGGAAGTACCTCAATGGAAGTAGGCCATTAAAAGTGAGATAGATTTCATACTGCAAAATCATACATTGGAGCTAGTGTATCTTTCTCTAGGAAGCAAACCACTAGACTATAAATGGATTTTCAAAAGGAAAATGAGAGCAGATGGAACTATAAAAAAGTCTAAGCCCAGATTAGTAATAAAATGTTACAAACAAAGGGAAGGCCTTAATTACTTTGGTCTCTAGTGACGAGAATAACATCTATTATGTTGATACTTGTGATTGCCTCTTTGTAAAATCTTAAAGTACATCAAATGGATGTTAAAACTGCATTTCTAAATGGAGATTTAGAAGAAAAAATTTATATGGAACAATCCGAGGGATTTTCGTCACAAAGCAAAAAAAGAAAGTTTGTAAATTGGTGAAGTCACTATATGACTTGAAATAAGCACCCAAACAATGGCATGAAAATTTTGATAATGTCATGATAGAGATTGGATTTAAAATCAATGAGTGTGATAAATGTGTTTACGTCAAAGACACTAAAGATGGTTATGTAATTTTATGTCCTTACGTTGACGACATGCTTATTGTTGGTAGTGACAATAAGATGATTGAACCATTAAAAATATGTTAAATTCGAGATTTGACATAAAAGATATGGGTTCAGCTGATGTTATACTTGGAGTCAAAATCTTAAGAACATCAGATGGGCTGGTTCTAAGCCAGTCACATTATATGGACAAAGTTTTGGAAAAGTTCAATAAAGATGATACTGGTTTGGCAAGAACACTGCTAGATACAAGTCAATATCTATCTAAAAACAAAGGTGAAAGTGTCTTTCAAGTAGAATACTGGAGAGTTATTGAAAGCCTAATGTACTTGATGAGATGTACAAAATCAGACATAGCCTACACAGTCAGTAAACTAGTAAATACACGAGTAATCCAAGAGCTGATCATTGGAAAGGAATAGTAAGAGTACTAAGGTACTTAAGATATACTAGTGACTATGGACTACATTATACCAAATATCCAGTGGTCATTGAAGGACACAGGGATGCTAATTGGATATCTGATATAAAAGACTCAAAGTCTACCAATGGATTTGTGTTCACATTAGGAGGTGCTGCCATATTTTGGAAATCCTATAAGCAAATAGTTATAACTAGATCTACGATGAAATTTGAGTTTATAGCTCTAGATAAATATGGTGAAGAGGCTGAATGGTTGCGCAACTTTGTAAAGAATATTCCAAGATGGTTAAAATATGTGCCAACAATTTGCATATATTGTGACAGTCAATCGACAATAGGAAGGGCACAAAGTAGCATGTACAATGGTAGGTCTAGATATATACGTTGTAGACACAATATCATAAGATAATTACTCTCAACTGGAGTTATCACTATTGACTACGTAAGGTCAAAAGATAACATCACGAATCCTCTAACCAAAGGGTTAAATAGAGAGTTGGTTGAAAAATCATCGAAAGGAATAAGACTTAAGCCCTAGAATGAATAAGTCATTACAAAGAAAATCCAACCTAGTTGACTGGAGATCCCAAGATCTAGGTTCAAAGGGACAACCTAACTATAAAAGCTTAATAAAATCACTGTGGGGGTATTTCCTTCTGTCCATTCCCATGATGTAATAATGATGCCCGTAAGGATGAAGAATAAGCAGAAAATCATCGAAAGGAATAAGACTTAAGCCCTAGAATGAATAAGTCATTACAAAGAAAATCCAACCTAGTTGACTGGAGATCCCAAGATCTAGGTTCAAAGGGACAACCTAACTATAAAGGCTTAATAAAATCACTGTGGGGGTATTTCCTTCTGTCCATTCCCATGATGTAATAATGATGCCCGTAAGGATGAAGAATAAGCAATAAGCTTTTAATGATTCTTATGCGTCGAAAATTGAACTAAGTAATGTGGTTACTTGTAATAAGAAATCACCTATGTAAGAGAGAAGTGGGGCTACTTCTAAGAGAATTGTGAGGGGCTTAATTCTTAAGAACTCTCACAGAACCCGACATATTTTCATGGCCAAACGAAAATAATAATGAGAACTGAATTGTGTTAGGAAGAATCTTGTGTGGAGTATATCATCCCTTAAATAAATGGCAGAATAGTTCAATGACAACATATTTACTGGTCAGTTAGTAAAGTAAATATACTTTCATAAGGGAATTTTCAAAGGGTAATACCTACCTATCCTATGCAGGCTTCAACCGTTGAACTTTATCACAGTCTTGTGTCTCATGATCACCAAGTCTCGTGTCTCACGGTCTCATGTCTCTCCCAATTTTTATTCATGTAGAGGATTGTTGGAAAAAATGGGCTAGTGGATGATATTGATATAAAATTTGTGAGGGACACGTTGGTCAAATTTGGAAGATCGAAGTTGATCCTTGTTCTCCTCCGTGAGAGCATCCAAACCATGTGTTTATTAGCCAAAATTGATAAATGGATGAATGAGAAATTGGAGCTCAAAGATGACCATTGAAAGATAGTGTGAGAAATAAATCTAGTCCCATATAGGAAAATGAAGAAAATATTAACCACTTTTTATAGGAGTGTACATTGGAATAATGTAATCATATGTAGCACAGAAGCTCTCTCTATATTCGCTCAGGGGGTACAAATCACGGACCGAAATTGCCTTCGGACCTTAAACTTGTATGCGGGCGCGACCTGCGTACACGAATTGGCCCTTTTGGAGTGTTCACATTTTGTAATTTTTTACTTTCTTCAACTGACCTTTGAGTTTTCGAAAAACTGGCAAAACTCCCTAAAATTGAAGCAACAATAGTGTTTATTGCTATGGAGTTAGGCATATTTAATCTTATATATATAAGTCTCATTTTTCAGCAATTCTAACCACGAGAATACTGTATACACACGAAATCTGTCAAATTAATGTTGTCTATTGCATTTTCAGCGTCGTCTTGGTGGTGATATTGTTGGATACAAACTCAATTCATCGAAATAGTTTCTGTAGTACTCAAATTCTACTGTCATTGTTATATTCTAGGAAACAGACGCTTAAATTAATTTTCAAGTACTTACGGTGAGGGAGCGAATCTGTTTTAAGGAAACCGTGCTCGCACAGGTCTCGGGTTGAAATTTTATTTATCTTCTGCAATTTACATATTTGCAATTTATTCTTAGAGTTATTTATTTATTTAGCAATTTACACATTTGCAATTTACTAGATTCATATATTTTGCAGTTTACTTGTTTTATATTTATCTTAGAATTAAAAAATAGAAAAAGAAAAAAAATATATCTGAATTTTCTTGCTAGCAGTTGGTAAACGCAATTCGGTATATGTTTATTACATATACGGTATTTCTACGTGTAAGTGAAAATACGGTATATATGAAAAGGGTAAAGAAAATATGTGCAAATACAGTAGGCAACATATAAGGTAAGTTGTAGATACAGTAGGCTGCATATACAGTAAGTTATCTGCAAATACGGTAAGTTGCATATACTATATGCTCAAAATCGATATCTAAACTACATATACGGTATGTGATAATCCGATTTCATTAATACCACTATATTCCAACAAATCCAATATGGCAACCAGTTTATTTATTTGATAAAAACCAATCAACATGAGAAATGCATGATTTCCATTTCCGGCTGTTCATTCTTACCAATTGCATGTTTCTTATCATCATACGTTGAATGGGTAAAGTTACATATGCTTGAATTGATCTACGAATGGTGAATATATATGCTTAAGGGTGACTAATGGAGTTTTAATTTAAGCACACACAGGAAGGTAGAAACCTATAGCTTGTTTGCCAGTGCTTAAAATGGTACTTCTAAGCACAGCATAACACACTCTTAGTTATCGCACTTCAACAATGATTACATCTCCTATTGTCGATGCAAGATAGGCACCTCACAGCAGAGTAATATTTCAACTTTGTACTTTAGTCGATCTCATATATCCTTTGCAGTTAAGACTAAGTTTCATTCACAGAGCCAAAAGTTGGGAGAATATGTTTATAAAAGTATTTATAGAGAGAGGTATCCTCAGTTTTTATTAAATTGCATGGAAGGACAAAAGGATTATAGAGCAGAAATATATTTCAACCAAAGAGATTGAAGAAAAAATTGTTGGAACAGAATCCTAGGGTGTTTTCGATCCCGATTTTTCTAGAAAATAGGTTTTGTAACTGTGATTTTGAGAATGTTTGGTTAAAAAATAAGAAAAGTTTTGAGTTTATGTGTAAAATTATTTTATTGGGACTTGGGAGAAAAAAATGAGTTTTGATAGAATGGAGCTAAAGGAGGGGCTTATTATCCATACATAAATTATATAAAACTAGTAATACATTTGATGGTTTAGTCGTTAATATTCAGTAACTTAATAATCAATAAAAATAGCAGGAAAAAAAAACTACATTCAGATTAAGACTTTTAGTAACCAATAATTAATATTTAATCTTGTCATTAAGAATTATTAAGATATTCGTTACTAGAACAGAACCTCCAATGAAATTTCAATGCAGTCCATAATATATCTGTGAAAATTAAATTTAACCATCAATTATTAAGGGAACCTAATAATAAATATCCAATTGAAAGCAATGGAGCATATTTTACATGGAAACACTATCACATTTCGCAGTGTTACGTTCAACCTAGAAATTAAAATACATTGAAACTTTTCTTCACAGATGTGTCCATTTTCTTTAACGAACTATAACTGTACAATTCTTGTTTTAGAAAGTGAATGTTAATGGTTATAAATGCAATTATCCTTTTAGTCCCAAGAATTATATGCAAAATAAAAATTGCATGTTGAGATGTAAAACTATAAAGCAAGAAAGTCCTGTATGTCAATTATGAATTGATCTACGAATGGTGAATATATATGCTTAAGGGTGACTAATGGAGTTTTAGTCCCAAGAATTATATGCAAAATAAAAATTGCATGTTGAGATGTAAAACTATAAAGCAAGAAAGTCCTGTATGTCAATTGTGTATGCATAGTCATTGATACAACGAAGTATACCTGTCCATTAAAATAAAAAAAAGAAAGTTATAATTAATCTCTAATACTTAATAATCTTTTCATATTCCAACACTATCATTGGGTTCCTAAAGTCATTAGAGACTTAATGGTACATAAATTTGAAATACAACAAGCCATTGAATATGAAATGCATACCAGAATAGGGAACCCAACCACAATCGCTCCAGCAGCACCGGCAATGACAGCTAATGCAGCGAATGCAAGAGAGCTGAAAGTATCATAAATCATTCCAAGTGCATAAGCACCAGCAGCCGCTGCCTGTCCAAGCATTGCAACGGTGACAAGCAGAAGCCTGTCCAAGCATTGCAACGGTGACAAGCAGAAAATTTAGCGGGTGTGGAACATGTATGTCCCGCCCAAAGGAATGGAAAACAACTCTGCCCTCTAAGCAACCAATGCAATAGCACCATTGACTAGTCGAATGCTCTGCAGCTGGTGCTCATTTTTGGTGACACAACATAGTGCCCCTATAGTCGATGCATAAAGTTGAAACAAAAATGGTATGGAAAAAAGAAGGAACAAGTCACAAACCGGAGTAGCTGATGAAAATATAACGGAGTAACGTGACACAATGTGAAAGAATAGAGGGAAGAACCAGGGGCGGACCCAAAGACTTCGGACTGTGGGGTTAAAAATGAAATTTTTTTTGAACAACGTATTATTAACGAAAATAAATTCATAGGATTAATGGATTGGAGTGGATAATTAATTGGAATTTGGAACCCCATGTGGGTCCGCCCCTGGGAAGAACTATAGACTCAAGGTGTGATGCAACTCTCAAGCTGTCCTAGAATTAGACCATCGTCTGGAACTTGACCCCCATGATAACTCACATCTTGCTTTGACTTAAAGGATGATGTCCCAGGAATTGAATAAAGCCAATAGAAACCAAGAGATAAAATGCGACGTTTGCCATACCAATTGCAGAGACTACTGCCCGGCTGAAAAGAGCCAAGGCGATGACAGGAATGCAGCGAACAATAGCCTTTCCAGTGCAATTACAATGGTGGGGTATTCGATTTGAATCTACTTGAACCAAAGGGAAACCCAAACACCAATTAGGAAATTGGCCCATGCGCAAGTTAAACTGGCAAGGAAAGCGAGGGAGATGGAATTGAATGTGAGGGAGAGGGAGGAGCTGAAGAAGAAGACAATTTAAGCGAAAATGAGGGCAAACTAGATTGCGAAGAACGAACTGGAGTTAAAATTGATGGAATCGAGGATATAGGCTATCATGAGGCCGACGGTCAGAGTGGCGACAACCGGAGTTCCACCAAGGTCTAGGAGGAAGACAGTGGATGGTATCAGGGTAATAGCGATTCTGGCGTTGTGAAAGAAGAAAGACGGGGAGAATCTGGAATTCCTCATGGAAGAGCTGCGGCGGCTGTTGGTGGTGCCATGATAGATGGAGGAGGGAGAGCTGGGGCTAGGGTTAGGGTTTTGGTCACCGTTGCAAGATGTAGTGGGGAAAGAAGGGGTGCTCAAGGAGAAGATATGTGTGGAAGGAAGGCCCTCGGCTGGAGCTTCGATGAAAACATCTTCGTCGGGGAGCTGTCTGAATTCAAATCTAGTGTGCAAGGGATGATGCTACAAGAACATAGCCCATGACACTTTGAACGACTGAAGGAATCATAATTTCTAGGTGTTGTATACCATGTGAAATGCTTCCTAACAATGCAGAGGTTTTGATAAAGGTTCAGGTACATCTGTTTAGGCATTGATGATAGTATGCTTTTCAAGAGTGCTATATCCCCTTGGCTAATAACTATTGAAAATTTGCTCCAATCTAAGATATTAGCAAATGGAAGGTCGTAATAGTTCGATATCAAAACAGGGACACAGCCATAATGGATAGCATCACTGACTCTGGCAGTGTTCACCTCATAACCTTTTACGTGGAGGCAATATCTGCTCCTTCTGAACCCTTCCTTGTAAGGAAAGGGCGGATGCCCGGAAAATAGACTAAAAGAAGTATCATTTTCCCATAAAGTTAATAGCTCTTTTCGAATTTGAGAGTTCTGTACTCGACCAGCAAAGAAAACAAGTTTGTCTCTGCAGTTAAACAAGAAAATTATAGCTAATAATCAATACCATTAATGGCAAAAAATTCACTTGAAATAAATGTTAACCTTTGAAACAGAAGATAACATCTTGCAAAAGTACTTTCAATACCATGAGTAGTTCTTCATCAAGGAAAAAGGAATAGGTTGCACATATTCTTCTCTAGTTCATTTCTATTAAGAGAAAAATAAACTGTAAGCTTCTTTCTAACTTAGCCCTGTTTGGTACAAATTATTTGGAACTCAAATTTTTCCAAACTTACTTTCAACGACACATTTTCCAATAAAATAAATTTGCACGTGGACTTGTAAGTTTTTCTTGCCTTTTAACCACAAATTCTTAAATAAAAAAAAAAATAAATAAATAAATAAAAAAAACACTTTTCATAAAATTTATTATCAAAATATCTACATCAAACTGTTCCTTAGTCTAGATTGCTGACGAGGCGGAAACTATTTCTAGAGAAAAATTTAATTCAATGCTGTAGCCATGACATGCACCAAATCAGCCAGAGATGAGTCTCCCAATTCTTCATATCACCTTCCATTAAGAGATGTGAAAAGTTTTAATCAACCTTCTCGTTATTCTTATTTTTTAAAGTGTCCATCCACATTTTATTTACCACGGATTTGACTAGCCTCAAGTTACCTGAAATGTACCTGTCAAGTATTTGATCTAATTCTTCAATTCTAATATCTGTTAGTCTAACCATGCAATGTCAATGGGAGGAGAAAATGTGTTCTGCTTTAGGTTTGAGGCTTTGAGCAATAGTTCATCAGATTCGAGAAATTGATTCAGAATAGATAAGTAAACCTCGGTTACTGCAGAGACAGACAATGCAAATAGATGGAGAAGGAAAGAAAAATATTTCACTTGGGACTGGGGCTAGTGAAAGTAGAAAGTGCTTAGTACATGATCTTACTAGTTTCTTCTTTCTCTGTTTTCTATTTCACTTACATTCTTAATTTTCAGGTTGTTGCAATGGCAGTGGTTGTTGGCCATCGCTGAAGTTACTAAGGTATATCATCCCTATACTGACGGGTAAATGGTGGAAAGCATAGATATCGAAGCCAAAATTGGTACAGAAGCTGTCATATGGCTTATAATTGGCATCTGCCAGATCCTAGAATTCTTGCATGAAACGGTTTGTAATGTCACAAGCCAAAATAAAGTAAAATTTTCTAATGTTATCAAGAATTTTAGCTCACAGTTGCATTAGGCTATAAGTTGGAAACTCAGGTATGTTATTAGATGTATAACCCTGGTCCCTTAATCCTAAAGTGAATTAAGAAACAAAAGAATATTACCCTTAGAATTGCTTTTACATTCTTCCAAAGCACATTCAGCTAAATCAAGTTGGCAAGCTTAGGAGTGATAATTGGACATAGGATATATTGGTTTTGATTTCGACATCTATGCCACATCATTGTTTAACTCCTTGGCTAGCCATTTGGCAGAAGTGCATGACTGAACTACTGCCAAGTAAAAAAACTAAAATGTAGAGTGCCGGAAATTTGCACTAGTAAAAAGAGGTATACCTTGCTTCGGGAGGATTCACTACTTGCTCGTACTGTCGAGGCCAAACTTGGGGTAACGCTATGTCTTTGTGGGCAGTGTAGAGCCTCTGAAAATAACTGGACGAGCAAGTGATCTGGATGGCATTATTACGTAAACCAAGATGCTTGGAGGCAGCATCTCGTCCAACTGAATGGCAGCAGATGTAGAAATGATCAGCGCCTCCAGAGGAATTCCAGAACTGGAACTCCAAGCTTATCCTCGACGTATACTGTTTAACAAAATTGGAGATGGATGTTTCTGAGTGCAACAGTGGGTGATTACGCATGTTATTGATGGAAAAGGGCATGAAGAAGAAATTGGCCTCCTCTGGATGTTGGGTGACAAGAGAACTCCGTAGAAGGGCATGCTTAAACATGTGCTCGCTGAAGTAATTCCCAATATTTGGATTAAAAGGATCTGGATGGGGAAGAAAAATGCGAGCGAAAGGGGATGATTCATTGCTCATGGAGACATCGGAATATACAAAAATCTTCAAATTTTGCAACATATCCCGATAGTCGGCAGCGAAAAGTTCCCAATTGTGATAAGGACCAGCACCTATTTCCACAGAAGAATAATTCGAATTAGGATTAGGATTCCCTTGGGGTTGAAACTGAAACAAATTCATTCTGTTCATCTCTGCCGATTCTGGTAATTTGAGCCCTAGGGTTCTTGATAAAATCAAGAACGTGAAAATCCCAAGGACCACTAACACAAGGAATAGCAACAAATTTACACGCAATCGGCTATGACTGCGAGCTCGGCTCATTTTTAGAATGCCAAACCAAGCACATATAACCATTCAAGTAATAAGAGGGAATTGCTATTACAAGTCAAGAGGAAGGTTAGAGATAGGTGCTCTCAATTCTAGTGAGAAAAAGTTCCACTTGAATGCCTTGATTTCTTGAATTTTATCGTGTTTTTTCTGATTTTTACCTACCATCGGTGGAAATTGATATAAACATGCTGTTTCTGGTTGGATTTTGCTTTTATACTAGTGGAATTCATGCTAGCTTGTGGTCTCAGTTGGGTCTTTTAGCTGCGTTTTGAGCTAGCTTTTTCTGGACGGATTTCAGCAGATTTTGGGTGGATTCTTCCAGCTCAAGTTTGTAGGAGGAAATAGGGGAAAATGATCATTTGACCCCCTTATCTCCACTTTGTCCTTTGACTAATTTTAAAAAAAAAGATGAAAATATATTTTAAAGACACTTTTTTAAAAATACCTCCCATCTCTCTCTCTCTCGACGATTTGGACTCAAGAAATCAGTTTCATTGCCAATCGGTCGTCTAGACATCTCCCTCACCAAAGAACTTTCGATTGTCGGCTGTTAACAGTTGTAAATGTTAGTTTTTGTGGAGTTATAATTAGATTTTTGAATTTTGTTAAGTTTTAATTAGATTATTGGTTGAAATATTATTTTTGTGGTATGAAAGACATAATTTAGGCTAGATTAGCGTATAGATGAAGTGCATTGACCAATTTTGATTGTGTGGGGAGCTTCAACTCGTCGGAAATGGTGGATTCCGACAAGAGGAGCAAAAGCTGTTGACAGTCGATCGCTAACAGTGGACCAGCTGTCAAGACCGACTATTAACAGCCTGTTCTATCCGGTTGTTTAAAAGCCTTTTTTTTTTTTTAAATTTCCTAGATTATTTTAAATAATTAAATGTTTGGAATTTTTAATTAATTTTTTTTCTCGATCAAATTTAAAGAAATTTGTTATTCTAAAATTATTTTTTTAATTCTAATTTTAACTCTTTATTTGAAATTGAATTTTAATTTTAAATTTTAATTTTAATTTTTTAATTTAAAGAAATTTGTTATTTTAAAATTTATTTTCAAATTAAATTTTTAATCCTAATTTTAACTTTTTATTTTTAATTTAATTTAATTTAAATTTTCATTTTAGTCATAACTTTAATTTAAAGAAATTTGTTATTTTAAAATTATTTTTTATTCTAATTTTAACTTTTATGTTAAATTTAATTGTAATTATAATTTTATTTTAAATTTTCATTTTTTAATTATAATTTTAATATAAAGAAATTTGTTATTTTAAAATTAACTTCAAATTAAATTTTTAATTCTAAATTAAAATTTTTATTTTTAATTTAATTTAATTTGTTTGAAATTTAAATTTAAATTTTCATTTTAGTTATAATTTTCATTAAGGGGACGATGCCCGAGGTGGGCGATGGGAGGGCGACCGCCGTGAGTGATTGGGGAGAAAAAGCGTGCTGCTGACATGCCGAATCTGGTGGTAGACAAGAGGTCGAGAGTGCTATCACAGTACATTGTCTCTCCCTTCGCGGCTGAGACGAAGTGGAGGAGGTTCGTCGATGGGACGATCCCCAACCTATTTCGGGAGGTGGACTATGCCAAATGGAAAGCGTTCGAGACGGAGTGGAGAAGAATGATACTCGAGTTAGCATTCATGATATTAGTGATATTAGTACATACCAGTGATCATTACTTATATATGTTTTTTTAACATTTCTCTGTTTCTTTTGTCATGACCAGCCATACAATCGGTATTGTGACGATCTCCGATACTTATAAGTGGTTCCACGGCATCATTACCTTAGGAGCTTGGCTTGCCGACAAAGTAAGTGAAGTACTTGTACTGTTATTTTTTATGACTTATATATCATTGTTTGTTTATGCAATGAAATAACTGCCTTTTGTATTGCTATTTCTTAATGCAACATATTGACCTGGCCATGGGCTTGTTGCGTGATCGGGTTCAAAGATATCCGGGGTAATTTGACAGTACTGGCTAAGTCATACTGAATTTGGAGTTTGGAAGAAGTGTTGATATTGAGTACCAGTCGCTCCAACATGCCGACAAGGAGTACGCGGTGCCCGACTACATGCTTGAGTAGACCATACAGATGTGGCCACGTGTCGGGAGAAAGTCATGGGAGAGTTGTACACATATGTACATACCAGTGATCGTGAATCATCATTGCATAACCTTGGAGACTGTGTTCGCTGAGTCTACTATATATGTGTACGAACCCAATCATTCATGTCTAACATAGGGTCAACTTGAGCAAAATCTAGAGTCCATTGCCCTTTTTGTCCCTATGATGGCTAGACAGGTGGGATTGACTGTGAATGATAGATTAGCCATCGTGCGGGACACGACGACGGCTAGGCAGACAATATCGTAAGTGGTTCTAAATTTTTTAAAATTTAATGCTTAATCTTTTTCCTGCACAGTACTGATCAAGCTCATTATTATTCATTTGCAGGGGCGATTGTGCCATTTTTACAATAAAGTACATCAAATTTTTGAGTATAGCACATAAGGTTGATGAAATCAACCAATTCTGGATACAGAGTTGGCAGAATAAGTTGTCGTGCGACTTATTCTACTTTAATGGTGATCTATAGATTTATTGTAATTATTAGTTGTAATTTTTTTAATTATGAAATAATTATAAACATTGTAAATATTGATTTTTTGTACTTACGAAATGTTTGTAACACACTGTAATGGATTATTAAATGATTATTAATTATGACGTCCTTTGAAATATCGTAGAATAAATACAAACACTGTTTATTTCGGATGGACAACATTACCAAATGATCTAACTATCATTCAAAGGAACATGACTCGGACAATATTGGAGAGTATGCCCTACTAATTTGCACCGGCTGCACCTACGCGATCGAGGAAATTCTCCGATAGATGGTATTCTAGACGTACTTGGATGTCCAAAACCATGGGGTTCAATGAGAGGTGGCAACATTATATTGAGTGGGCGAATATGGTCGGGGACTTCTCACTCAACTTCGTTTGGCAGAGGAAATATTGTCTCAGCATACGCAGCTCTCAAATAATCAGTTGTGTAGTAATGAGAGCACAATATTATAGCTGTAAATCCTCGATACATAAGCAACCGCGACTGCATGCTCACATGGAAAAGTCTCCAACTGAAATTTTTTACAAGTGCATGTGTTATCAGTCAAATTCACCATGTATGTCGTATTACGTGCACATTCTTCTGAGAAGTGGGACTCGTCTAATGGTTCGACATTCAACTTTCTCGCAAGTTCTGCAGCTTTGAATAGCCTTTCCTCTTGTGCCTGGGCTAGCACACTGATGCAATTTTGTGATTTCGCACATCGATCATAAAACTACTGATGCAGCTTGGTACGGATAATTCACTTCGGCATCAGAAGAAATAGTCATAGGATGACTCGGAACTTCCTGATCCTGAAATTAAATTTCAATTCCATGTTATACTAAGAGAGATCAACATTTAGCTTGTTCTTTAAAACATTATAGAATTCTGCATACGTTGTTGTTTTTGTTATGAAAATTGGGATACCACCACGTTTATCACTCGTCCATTTCCATATCCATCGATCTCTTTTTCCAATTCAAAATCACCAAAGTAACAAACTGAGACTACAATCATATTTGCATGATAAAAAGAATTTTACAGATCTTAAGGTTGAAGCACATGAAAGATGAAAATGTTTTTATCTGTGTTGGAGTAAACAGATATAAGAAGTTTGCTGATTTTGATATTTTAAGTGGGAAGTGTTTGGTGTTTATTTGTTAACTAAAGGGTAGTAATGTATTTTAAACAAAACCTTCTTTTGTAATTGTATAATACACTTAAGGGTATTTTTGTCTTTTAACACTCAATAGGCCACTGTGATAATTTTAACAATTGAATAAGTCAAAGGGGAATTTCCCTTCTTTGACCATTCCATTTTTTAAAGTACCCCACTTTTAGTTAGTCACTATTTGTGACGCCACCACATTCGGCCGAAACCCCTATCATTCATGGCCTGCTGGACCACCACAACCGCGATGGCTTCAACAATTCCAATAGAGCCGATCCGCCACCACTACGCAAGCATTACCCCACCACTCTCCATTAAAGAATCCCCAAATCGTCACCATTTCCACGACCACCACCTACAAACTCCATCCACAAAAAACTATCCCAAATCACTGCACAACCACTGTATCGACGACGGCTTCCACGATTTCGACAGTGCTGCTGCTGTATGTTGTGCGTGAGTCGTCACGCGACAAGCATAACACCACACACGATCGATGGAACAGAAGCCACCATTCTTCCACGTCTTGTTACCGAAGCCGTAAATGGGGGAAGAGAGAGGATGTGGGTTATGAATTTTTTTTGAGTCTTTCAGGGTTTGGGTGAATTTATAATTTTTATATATATTAATTAATTAGTTAATAAAAACATTTGATTTTTGATCAATGAAACATCCAATCTGATTTTAGAATTTTGAATTTTTAAAGTAGCTTGTGGTATAATTTTCACAATATTTATTGCCTGTATTTATTACTAAATTGTGCCTGCTTTAGCTATTTTCTAGCTAGGCCTTGGTTACTTGCCCAATCGGAATTAGGGAAAATTCATAAGTAAGAAAAAGTATCACCCATTTCAAAAATAAGAATAAAGATATTTTAAGGTCGTAGATCTATACAATTTGGTCATGAATTAACTATTTAGTTAGTCATATATTATTTTTCAATCACAAATCAAAATTTTTATATATGACAAATTATTTTACAATCATAATTCAAAAATCTTATAGATCACAATTTGATCATCGGTCACAAATCAAAAATTTGTAAGTCACAATTTATTTAACGGTCACAAGTTACAAGTATTATACGCCACAACATATTATACAGTCCCAAATTATCAATTACAAAGTAACAATTTTTATGTCACATTATTTTTTGGTCATAATTTTTTTTATTGGTTATAGATTAACCAATTTAATGGTTATTGTCAACCAAATAATTTGTGACCACCACCAACACTTACAATCACTACCTTACTGCCCCACACACAACCACCGCTAGATCTACCCCACCAACTCTAGATTCACACCATCAGCAGCCCCGATCCACCACAATCGCCATCTTCACCAGAACTACCACCTCCCGACAACACCACCATTGTGACCCTCCAAATGATACATCTGGTTACCATACGGATTTTTCTATACTTTGCATCATTCCTCTCGGTCCAAAAAATTAGAGTATCAGTAGATGAATGATAGTGCTAATGTGTCCATAGCAAACATACTATCCAGAATAGCTCCATCTCTAGATCCTCTGTCACCTATT